TAAACTAATAGGAAATCCATTGGTTCTTCATCTGTGTTTGCATTCATATCGATTTCTTAGACACATCATCTGGATTTCGAAACCCTAGGTTGTTTGATAGATGTGAGAACATTATTAATCACCTGAACTAGTATTAGATGAGAAAAACGCCTATTTGCAAAGAGATTTGGCTTAGGAGTTTTGTGAACAATTGAACCTGATCATTACTGCATATCTAGATTGTTAGGGTTTGCAAAGAGATTTGAAACTCTGTGATTTAGACATAGTTAACTTCTGCAATGAGAATTGATTAGTTATATATTTTCGATTCATGTTCAGGACGGTTTTAATTCATTCCTGATTGCATGCATTCTACACTCTCGGATTCAACCTGCAAATTGTCATGACTTAGCGCCTTTAGCTTTCTGAACTTTAAGAACAATCCCAAAAACGCCCAATTACATTTATTTTGCTTTTTGCATTACATTCATTACTTATTGCTTAACTTAATCCGAACCTGAACTCTTTAGTGTAGTTTACTTGCTCCCTTGGGATTCGATAACCCCTTATACTATGATTGCATTGATGTGCACTTACAATAGTTTTATTTGGGTAAAACCTGAACCCTATCACCAACGTATCTGTATTAATGTACAATACGTATCTCTCGAATTCTCACACCTGAGAAAACAAGCCCACTCTTTATAACTGAATGTAATGTCCCAAAAGACAAAAGAGTCCATTTATATAATATGGCCCAAAAACACAAGTATTATTAATTGGTCAACCTTGCTCCATATTGTTGACTCCGACTTGCTCTTCTATTTCCTTCTCTGTTCTCCTCGTGTACACTCTTAGTATCTTATCAATATACATCAACCAAAGTTATTTTCTATGGCTAATCAATATGAAAGGTGCTTCATAAACCGGTAAGGACAAAGATGTACATACCTTCAGATTTAGAGAAAAAATAAGAATAAGTTAGCTGAGAGAATAGATAAATATTTTTAAACGTTTTATTATATACACTTTACAGAATTGATTTGGATTTAAGAGAAATTTAGACTTAAGGATTGGGGTTTACACAGATACAAATATAAAAAAATTCTAATAGTTTGTTAAGATGTTGGTCATGTTGATGATTATACTTCTCGTTTCCAGAATTCTACATGCATTAATCTGCAACATCAAAGCAATGAAGTCTCAAATCATGCGCCCAAATGGAGGAAGAAGCAACTCCTTTGATTTAGTAAAACGTGATTTGCACATTAAGACATGAGAAATATAATTGGACATGAAGACATGAGAAATGGGTGAATCTTGTCTTCCTCTTTAGGTTGGATTTCTTATGATTTTGTTAGATCCTCTCACAGTGAATTTCTCTGCAGATCAAGAGCCCTAAATCTGCATGGCCAAATGAAATCGTTACAACCATCATCTCAGGATACCCACCACAAACTCAACGTACAACTTTATTTCTGTTTTCTCTACAACCATCGTCTAACGCTTCATCGCTGTTTCGTGGCTGGATATTTGGAGAGCATCGTCTAACATTTCTCATGAGCTAGAAGCGTAGAAGTGGAAACGATAGATATAATATAAGTGGAGGAGTTACGATGTAGATTATATTGATTTTTGTAGAAGGGGATGAGTTACAATGAGAAAAATCAATCATCATTGTTAGAAAATAGAGAATTGGAAGCGTCTGATGAGATGAAAAATAACAAATGCCTTTCAGAAACCGAAAAAGAAAAAAGAGACTAAACTTTCATGCTTATGCCACATCGCATCTTTTTAGAAAAAGATTTTTAGCTAATGTTGATGGCCTGTGGAGCCCAAAACAATTGCTCTTATTTAGTATAGATTTTCATTTAATTTTTATCCAGAAAATGCTAAGAACCCTTGTTAAGATTCTGCATTGAACATGGTCTTATAACTTTATAATTACAAGTAAAATACTTTAGAAGGGAAATGGACTTTGATAAGATGATAAGACTAAACCACTTAGTGTTTAATTAACACACTGGCCTCATCTTCTTTCTCATCTTCACTGAACAATCTGCAAAAAAACAAGTAATTGTTTCCTCCAACAGTGTTCATCCCAAATCTTTGTGTCATGTCTGCAATTTCACTCTTCCTCTCGCTCAAATCAAGAGGTAACAAACAATCGATCTCTAATTTTTTCTTATGCTCCTCTTGCCATCAATCTTCCTTACTAAGTTTTTGAGGTCTTAAATTGATTAAGCCATGTGAATGCCCATTTTGACGACGATGAAATCAACCCACAAATCGCAAGCGATCACCACTTCGCTCAGCAACTCGCCTCTTCATCTGATCCTTCTCCGTCTTCATCTGTAAGGCTTTCTTCAACCCTAAAAATCTTATTTTTTTTTTATTCCAGGAAACATCAAATTGACAAAAAAAAATTGTTTACTTTCTGCAGAATTAGGACAATTCCTTGAATTTTCACAACGATGTTGCGTCCTTGGTGCGTTCACAGGCCAAGAGCTCGTTTTACAGCGTAGGATCGAGAATGTTTATCTCATGACACACAGTTGAGATCGAGAATGTTGATCTTATGACACACTCACAGACGGATTCTCAAGTACATATTGTCATGGACAAACACTCATGGACGGATTCTCATGGACACAATCTTTTCCATACAGACTATATCGAAACCTGCGATTATAGACATTAAACCATGGACATGCTGTTATGGATATTAGGCTGTGCCACCGTGGATATAAATTCATATATATAAAGTTGAGAATAACTATGCAAAAACTGTCTATTTACAAATTGGACATGCGGTTATGGATACAAAGTCGTGGATATAAATTCATAGATGTAAAGTCATGAATAACATGATCGATGGGAAAAGAAAATAACATGTATATATATATATACTTAGCTCTCTTCATGATCTTGGTATTATTCATATATGTCATAGCTCTTTTCATAATGTATACATTGCTAATTAATTAACTCAAATGGGTAACACTATTGTTGAGCTCAAATGGTTATCCCCAATCTCCATGGCTAAACCAAAACCAATGGTATGGATAAACATGTTTGTTTACATTCGAATAGATGAACTCAAATGAATAACACTATTGAATGTGTATACTTATATGAGATTATTGTGGATAACTTGTAATAGACTTTATTATGTATGAGATCATATGGGCAGTTTATAATATAAATCATGGAAAAAATGTGATTCCATGACTCTGTATGTTCATTCTCCTTGCGGAGTTTGAAATTAATATAAATGGCTGAGTTTCCATAGACATTATAGCATGGAAAAAAATGTGATGACCACACATATGTGTTCAAGCTGTGGACAAAAACTTTTGGACATTAAGTCGTGGACAAAGGACCGTGGACAAAGAGTCATGGACCACAAATACTTATTCATACAAAATTGTCTACGATGCTTGCTTGTTAGTCCACAAAATCATGTTCACACAATCTTATCCACGAAATTGTGATCAAAATTAACTTCACAAATTCTTCTGATTGAATAATGAATCTAGTCAATTGTGATAAAACCCAAGTTATTGAATTTCATGACAAATAATTGTATGAAAGCAAATCTTGGGGATCCAATCTGGAATGACAGATCTATATCAATCTAACATATATAAAAATATTCAGTTTAATTTTAGTAAAGTATGCGCAAAGATAATATACTTAGATATAAAAATGAGAAGTTGGATTAGATGGTTTAGGTTTTATATAGTTTAGATCAAAAATAAATTAAAATAGTAATATTGAATTGTGATGAACAAGAATGAATGCCTAAGAAGAGAAAGAGGAGAAGAAGAAGAAGAAGAAAGAAGCCATGAGAATAAAAGTTATTAAGGGCAAAAACGATTTTTTAACTTCAAAAAATATTGTCAAAGTCCACCAGAAGCTAAAATATCTTCTAGTGTAATTTTATTCACTCTGGAAATTAGGGGTGTAATATTTTTACTCTTTTTATCAAAATTTCAAAATTCTGATGTTAATAGGTTAGTAAATTTTTTTACTAATTAGACTAGATGATGATCCGTGTATACACACGGGTTTGTATTTTATTATATATTTTAAATAATTAATATAATATTTTAATTTAAATATTGTTATAATTTTTTTTTTGAATTTAAAAATCAAAATCAAAATAACAAAAATATACAAAAAGATGTACGATCTTTATTTTGTAAGAAAATCCGTTAATAAATCGACAATCCGAAAAAAAAATTCTATTATATTAAAAAAGATAAAAATTATTTGATATTTTAAAAAAATCTATAGGTTTTTGGTTGGTTGGATGTATTGCAAAACATGCATATATGCTTGCATTGAGATAAAATAGATTGTGGATTGTATGTTTTTCGTTCAAGCATCATGCACTACAATAAGAATTGATCTATTTGTTATAGTGTTTTTAAATATAGTTATGATATATATCTATTTTTATTTCTGTTAAAACATTTCACATTTTACACTTGTATATATAATACTTGCTATAATAACTTTGAAATAATGTTTTATAATTCAATATATTCATCATGTTATATGATTTGAGGTAATTTTGTTAATATATACATTTTTTTATATTTCTAAAACTAATAAAACAATCTAGCAACAAACCCATATATTGTTGGTGTTTTGTTTAAACTTTTTGATTCGAAAAATTAAAATAAAAATTAAATCATTATTCTTTTTTGTCTTAACTCTATTTTGTTTTTTTTTAAATGGTCAAATTTTTTTCATTTAAACTAAAATATTATTACTCAAAGTAATTGAAGTTTTGGTGGTAAATCACCTAATTACATTGAATTATGATGATACAACACTAGTTTTGATGATCTGCTAAGATGCAACTGTAATTTTTAATTGTTGTGAATGTTATATGAAATTGTGTTAAGTCACGATCAATAATTGAAAAAGGAAAGCAACACGAAGAGGGACAATGAGCACAAATAGTATGTTTCTCATATAATTAATACAAATGGGCTGGAATTGTACACATAAGAATGCTCATCGGCTTCAGCTATATTCAGAGGAAGAGCATCGATCATAACTGTCTGAAAAATCACCAAAATCGGTCGCTGAGTCATCTGTGATCACAACCACGACTACGGCTACAACTACAATCACTAGGTGCAACCAAAGGTAGGACAGAAGGCAATATGGCGTACATCATAATCGGGTGTAGAAAGCATCAATTGTGTCCATGTATACAAGTACAAGGCTGGATACCGAAAAACCAAGAAAATAAACACACACATAGAATCACTCAGTTTATGATCACGATTCAAAAGTTATATCAGGAAAAACGATGTGAATGAGATGTTTCACTGATGATTCAAGAACATAAAGTGCGCATAAGAGTAGATAAAAGATGAAAATACCAAATCTCTGGGCGCATCATCGACAACTTCAGCAGGTTGGTCAGCCCTTGCACTTGCTAAACAGGAGCCTGCAATCATGTATCTTTGCATATTGAGTAAACAAAGAAACAAAAAACCATGTGAACATCAAATTGCTATTTTTGAATCTCTGAAACGTGGCTTGATGGTTGGCTTAAAATATGACTCTGGTAAATTACACGTCACATACTGGTTTAGAAGTGATAGTTTATTCATCACACACAGTCGTCCACATGACTTGCAAACTGCATCGCATGAATCTCCTAGCCTATAAAACCAATTCAATAAATCGAGTATAAGAATATGGTATTCACTAAATCGTATACAAATTCATCCTGGGAGAGAAGTGAATGTGTTTTACCTTACGACAGTAACGTTAATGCCAAGAAGTCTTGTTTGAACTTGTGTAAGATTAGCCTGTGTTTCAGTTATTTACTGAATGTGAAAATGCATTTTGACATTTAAACGATAGTTGAAAGAAAATATAGGCTATCAAAGCTAACCTGAAGCATTTGATGCCAGAGAAAAACAATGGTGAAACTTGATGTGGTTTGTAGTATCATGAACTTGTAAGTTTCCGGACAAAAACATTACACTTTCATAAGCGTTTCATCATTTTCAGATAAAAACCTCGCTTCCACACTAAATTGCTACACTTCACGGCATAACCTCGAGTAAAAGAACAAAAAAACCTTAAAAAAAAAAAACAGTCATTAGATTACCACACTCTCAGAATTATGGCGGCATCTCCCAGGACAAAAAGTGTACTTAGCCTCGATTTTTCCGCCGTCGGTCCATCCATGTTTCTTGAAGAACACCTGAGCGCGGTTGTTACCACCAAACATCATCGTCCTGAGCTGCTCAGGGCACCAAACAGAGAGGTGCAGAAACAAACAAACAATATAGCATCTTGAGAAACGTTATACGTTATTCAATCCAGATAAGATGAAAGGACCAGTTTGTAAAATCTCATGTAATCAAATTGATCGATAATCTGAATCACTCTAATTTTAAGAAACTGAAGTCAAAATTCTGAAAACAAAATCGTATTTGTTCAGTAAAGTCACGATTTTGTTTTAAAGGTTTTTATGGTTAAAAATTGGATCGGTAAAAAAAAAGAAACGCTCTCTCCTCTCTCTTCTCTTAGGCGATTAGGGTTTGTGTATCCGCCATCGCCTCTGGCAAGCCTCACGCCGGTGAGAATTTCTCTCCTCTTTCTCCCTCCTTTTCCTTTCTCTCCTTCTCTCATGGTTCTGTTGGTGTTAGCTTATGGGAGGATTCTGCCGCTCCTCTTTCCTCCTCCGGATCCAGGTCCAAATCTGTTGCGGGTTGCTCTTCTGCTCGTAGATCTGTCCTTGGTGCTTGCCAGAAATGACTTCTCTTCGATGGGGTTACCAATGGGCCTTCTGGCGTTTTTAGGACTGAGTTCCCAAGCATCTTTCTAACTCTGTTGCAGTCATCAGATCCGCTGCCGAGTAGGAAGTTTCCAGAGCCTTTGACTGTCGTGTGTGGTGGTCCTCTTGTGCCGTCTTCACCAGACCCTCCAGACCCGCCAGATCCACCTGATTTGGAGTCTATTGGAGTAGCCTCAAGCCCATTGATGTTCTCTCGTGGATCTATTTCTATGCCTCTTAAGCTCTATGAAGGTATTGTCTCTCTTCGAGCCTTCGATTCCTTTGAACATTTGGTTTCGCTTGGGAATCTGCCTTTCTTTAGGCTTTGTTTACCTACTTATGAAGATTGCTCACTTCAGTATAAGGATTGTTTATCTCTGTTTGCGATTTGGTTACATCTCATCGGTTTCTCTATTGTGGAGATTTCAAAAGCGATGGTAGCTTACAATGATATTTTATACTGTTTCCCTTGGCTGTGTGTGCTAACCTACAGTCAAGTTTACTCCTTTATGGAGATGTTGGATCTTTTCTTTTTTTTCCATTAGATGGGAAAAGTTATTTTGCAAAGTTTGAGTTATGCAAGAGTTTTGAACATTTGAAGGATGAATTCAATTCTTTCCTCCAATGTCTGTTTGCTGGCTGCTGTTGGGACGTCACCTTGTTTCGGTCTAAGCCCAGTGGAGACTCCCAAGCTTCTCTGCCTTTACTGCTTTAAAAAGCCCTTACTCTTCGTTCGGCGCTCAAGAAGGAATTCTCTGCAAGTGTTACCTTGCTTCAAGTGGTTTTGGACTCGGATGTCTTAACTACTGCTCCCTTGTTGGGCACAGATCTGACCGAGTTTGCAGGCATTCTACATGATGTACTAAGTCTTGTTATTATCTTCTTTTCCACATATCTTTATGTTTTCTCTTGTTTCTGCATTAGGCATTGCAGCTGTTTTAGCCATGGTATCGTTTTCAAATGTTTTGTATTTCTATATGGACTATGTTGGATTTAGATGAATGAAAACAAAACAAGTTGACCAAAAAAAAATCGTATCTGTTCAGTCAATAAAATGCTAAATTTTTCAGGATTATACTTATCACGCCATCGAAATCTCAAACTCTAGCCTAGAATCGAGAGATTGCTACAAATGTGAGCTATAATAATGTAGAGAAATCGAATCAGATGATGAATCTATCAACATGTATATACTATACTTGTACAGCTTACGGTTAACTGGTTTATATCAGTAGTTTAGATTGTTTAGCTTGATTTAATGTATATCAATTATATATATAGTTTGTACCATAATTTATTCAGCTTAATGTGAATATTCAGTTTACATTTCGATGATTAAGAGTGTAAACACTAATATGGTATCAGAGCATTTTTTCGTTCAATCTCTCTGATTTCTCCCAATTTCCTGCAAAATTCCTTCGAATTCACCATAGTTTCGCACTTCTGAAGCCAGATCGATCATCAATTTGACCTCGAATCTTCTCGATTTCAACCTCAGAAGCTTCATTTGGCATTTGCACTTTTCGAATCATCTTCAGATCAACTACAATGGTGAAACAAGGTTGCAAAACACGAAATCGCCTCTCATCCTCTCCGGAAAAGACTTCGATAAGTCATCTTCATGCCGAAGAGAACATCGCGATCACTCCGCATACTGGATTCATGGCAAATCTTTCTTCTCAGCTTTGATCTAACAACTCTCAGTCCCGGATCGAAGCGTATGATAATGTTCACAGTCCTTTCTTCCTTCAGTCCAGAGATCATCCAAGTCTGTCTATTGTCACTCATGTTCTTCACGGATCCAACTATAACAACTGGTCAAGCCCGATGCGTATGAGTCTTGATGCGAAGAACAAACTCAGTTTCGTTGACGGATCTCTTCCTAGGCCAGATATAGATGATGATTTGTTCAATATCTGGATTAGGTGCAATAGTATGGTTAAAGCTTGGGTGTTAAACATAGTGAATAGGGAGATTTATGATAGTATACTATACTATGAAGATGCAATGGAAATGTGGAATAATTTGTTTCTGAGATTCAGAGTCAGCAATCTCCCGAGGACGTATCAGCTGGAACAATCCATCATGTCTCTTAAGCAGGGTAATCTTGATCTGTCAACATACTATACGAAGAAGAAGACGTTGTGGGAACAGTTAGCTAATACCAAGACTACTACGGTGAACTGTTGTAACTGTGATCACGTCACAGAACTCATGGAAGAAGCTTAGACTAGTCGGATTATCCAGTTCCTCATGGGATTGAACGACAACTTTGCCAGCATAAGGGGGCAAATTCTTAACATGAATTCACGCCCCGGATTGACAACAATAAACAACATGCTTGATCAAGATGAAAGCCAACGTCTACTTGGAGGGCTGCAACATAACACGTTCTCTAATCCCGCAGCTTTCCAAACCCAAGCTTCTCCAAATGCTGATCAATCACAGATACTCCTAGCTCAAGGTGGATATCAGAAACCAAAGTGATCTCATTGTCACAAGACAGGACATACTGCTGACAAGTTTTACAGACTGCATGGGTACCCTCCGGGTTATACTTCAAAATGGAAGAAAGATCAATCGATTGGTGCCACTAACATGAGATCAATCGATTGGTGCCACTAACATGACAGCAACACAGTTTCAGAGTCAGTCCGAGCCAAAAGGTGACAATCTTTTATCTAATGAGGAGATGCCAAAGGATCAGACACACACTATGATTTCGTATCTTAGCTCCACACCTGATCAGACTTGTGCCTCGACTTCTAATTTCGTACCAGTTGTTTCACAAATTTCTGGTACATTTCTGAATCTTTACTCTAATTCCTATTATGACATGCTTATATCTTCTATATCTAAGGAACCAGCTGTGTCTCTTAGGGCTTGGGTAATAGATTTTGGGGCTACTCACCATGTGACTCACTATATAGACCTTTATGTAGAGTATCACAACCTAGCAAATACCTTTGTCACCCTTTCCAACGGTTATACAGTCAGAATAGTGGGCATTAGACTCATTCGGTTGACTGATGCTATCTCTCTGCATAATGTGCTTTACATCCCTGATTTTAAATTCAATTTGATATCTGTTAGTGTTTTTACTAAGACTTTGTGTTCTAAGGTTAGTTTCATTTTGGATCATTGGTTTATTCAGGAATTTACAAAGGAGTTGACGATTGGTCAAGTCGGCAATTTATACATCTTGGATTTACATAGGTCAAACAAGTCTTTTTCTTTACAAGGTACCACCATCTGTTCCTCTCTACCCGTTTGTTATAGTGTCATTGTTGATGCAAATACTTGGCCTAATCGTTTAGGTCATCTTTCTGAATCTAAAGTTGATGTCATGTCTGATGTATTATGCTTAAAGAATACTAAGATGAATAAGACTGATTCTCATGTTTGTCATATTTGTCATCTCTCTACACAAAAGCATCTCCCATTCAAATTGCGTCAAAACATTTGCTAGGAATCATTCGAACTTGTTCATATTGATACGTGGGGTCCATTGTCTGTTTCCACCATTGATGGTTTTAAATATTTTCTCACTATTGTGGATGATTACAGTAGGGCCAGTTGGGTGTATTTGATGAAGAATAGCTCGGATGTCCTGCATATATTTCCTGGATTTATTGCAATGGTTGAAACATAATATAAGACAAAAGTTAGATCAGTTAGGTCTGATAATGCTCATGAATTGAAAGTTGCTCCTTTATTCACTGAAAAAGGCATATTTGCATATCATTCATGCCCTGAAACTCCTGAGCAAAACTCTGTTGTAGAGAGAAAGCATCAGCATATATTGAATGTATCTAGAGCTCTTCTCTTTCAATCTAATATTCCTCTCGAGTATTGGGGTGACTGCGTTTTAACTGCTGTGTTCCTTATCAATAGATTACCCACTCCCGTTCTAGATAACAAATCCCCGTATGTGAAGCTAACTCATAAAGCTCCCGAGTATTACCATTTAAAGTCCTTTGGGTGTTTGTGTTACTGCTCCACTTCCCCTAAGTCTAGACATAAATTTGAACCATGGGCTAGAGCTTGTATATTCTTAGGATATATGACGGGTTACAAGGGGTACAAGCTATTAGATATAGAGACACATGCTGTTTCCATTTCTCGTCATGTCATTTTTCATGAGGATATTTTCCCTTTGATTTCATCCAATCTCACGGATGTTACAAAGTACTTCTTTCCTCACCTTCATTCCCCTGCAATCCCTGATGTTCATTCGCCTCTTGTGCAAACATCTTCTGATGTACATCCTCATAATGATGTGTTATCTTCCGAGGCTTTGATTCCCTTCGAATCTAAGTCTCACAGACAAAAACATCCCCCCAAAGACTTGCAGGATTTTCATTGGTATAATCTTACTAGTACTATTCTCTATCCGATTGCCAACTATATCTCTTACTCAAATCTATCTGAGCCTTTTCGTGCCTTCATCAATGCTATTACAAATACATTTGTGCCATAAAGTTCTCAAATACCAAGGATCTTGAGGTATGGTGTGATGCGGCGAGAATGGAAATAGGTGCTATGCAACGAACTCATACGTGGAGTATCACATCTTTGCCACCAAACAAGAAGGCTATTGGTTGTAAGTGGGTTTTTTGATCAAATATAATGCTGGTGGGAGTATTGAGAGATATAAAGCACGACTGGTTGCCAAAGGTTTCACTCAGCAGGAAGGTTTGGACTATGAAGAAACATTCTCCCTTGTTTCTAAGCAAACCTCAGTTCATATGCTTCTCTTAACTGCAACAAAGATGAATTGGTCAATCAGTCAACTTGACATCTCCAATGCTTTTCTGAATGGTGATATCGATGAGGAAATATACATGAAGATTCCTCCTGGTTATGCTGATCTTCAAGATGATCCATTGCCACCTAACGTTGTTTGTCGTCTTCACAAATTTTATGGCCTTAAACAAGCCTCTCGACAATGGTTTTTGAAGCTCTCCTCCACCTTGTTGAGTATGGGGTTTGTCAAATCACAGGCGGATCATACTCTGTTCGTTAAGTATGTCAATGAAGTTTTTCTTGGAGTTCTAGTCTACGTGGACGACATTTTGATTGTCAGTAACAATGATGAGGCTGTGACAACATTCAAAGATTATTTGAAATCACACTTCAAGTTGTGTGACCTTGGTGAAACTAAGTATTTTCTTGGTTTGGAGATTGCAAAGATCCGCACAAGGCATCATTGTGTGTCAACGAAAATACATCTTGGAGTTGCTCACAAGCACTGGTTTTCTGGGAAGTAAACCCTCTTCTATCCCTATAGATCCAAGTTTGAAACTTTCCAAGGATTCTGCTGTTCCGTTAACTGATCCCTCCTCTTATCGCAAGCTGATAGGAAAGCTCATGTACCTGCATACAACACGTCCTGATAAATCGTATGCAGTCAACACATTGTGTCAGTTTTCCCATGATCCTCGAGATACTCATCTCAACGCTGCACATAAGTTGTTAAGGTACTTAAAGGGGACAGTAGGACAGGGATTATTCTATCCGGCTGACAACAAGTTTGACTTGCGTGGTTTTGCGGATGCTGATTGGGCAGCTTGTACTGACACAAGACGTTCCATCTCTGGTTCTTGTATGTTCCTCGGTGATTCTCTCATCTCTTGGAAGTCCAAGAAACAAGACATTGTATCTTGCAACACCGCTGAAGCAAAGTTTCGAGCAATGGCCTTGGCAACGAAAGAAATGATTTGGCTATCTCACTTGCTAACTGATCTGCATATACCGTTTCAGGAACCCGCTAATCTATACTGAGATAATATTACTGCTATTCACATTGCCAATAACTCAGTATATCATGAGCAAACTAAACATGTGGAACTTGATTGCTACAAGATTCGTGAATCAATCGATTATGGTTTCCTGAAGACAATGTATGTGAAGTCTGAGAATCAACTCGCTGATGCTCTTACGAAGGCTTTACATCATGTACCTTACCGAAAGCTTATAGGCAAGATGGGAATCTGCAACATCTTTGCACCTCTATCTTGAATGGGATATCAACGTGTATATACTATACTTGTACAGCTTACGGTTAAGGGCTCTGGAATGTCTGGTCTATATCAATAGATTAGATTGGTTTAGCTTGGCTTAATGTATATCAATTGTATATATAGTTTGTACCACACTTTATTCAGCTTTATGAGAATATTCAGTTTATATTTTGATGATTAAGAGTGTAAACACTAACAGAATCTGAGCTCGAGTTTCAAATCTTACCTCACGAAGCTGATATGAACACCGAGATTCTAATGAGTAGCTGAGCAATTGATGCAGAGGAAAATCCCGTATGTAACCGATGCCCATGTCGAATTCTTCGCACTGCAATTGAAGCATATCTAAATATCAGAGAGAAAGCAAAAAACGAGAATTAACTTAAAACGAAATTTTTCCAAAATTGAAGATCTAGTCAAACAACTCCAAGATTTAGACATACACGATCGAACAAGACAATTCTCAAAGAAGAACTAAACATAAATTGCAAAATTTCATAAGAAATCAAACCTTATTCTCAGATTTTGATTTCAGCTTTCTGAATACAATAGTTTTGTCGGTGTAGGTGGCGGTGTTGCTACTTCCATCGACATCTTCAATCACTCTTTCTTTCAGTTTCTCTGTTAACTTCTTTTCTCTCTCGTTACATAGAAGAAGGTTTCGGAAAAGAGAAGAAAAACCCAAATGAGAATTGAATCGGAAAAGAGTATATAAACTCAAATCAGACTTTGTAGTATCTCTTTTTTTATCATATCTGAATATATATATATATATATATATATATATATATATATATTATTAGTTGATGATATCAAACACTGAAAATTATAATAGAAATTTACGGTTTATTAGAAATTACTGCATATGGAATATTAACTGATTTGAACATTAAAGAGAGAAGATGAAGGAATAAAAAAACATTCAAATTTTATATAAAAGAAAATTAAATCTGATGTGTTAAAAAAGGGAATGCTGAGACGTCAATTGAGTCTTTATATGTAATAGATTTTTTCGAAACCGTTCAATCAAACCAAATTGCCAAACAACCCGGAAACACGACAAAGCTCTGCTCGGAATCGAAAGAAAATTGAGAGCAACCTTGATGATGATGATCATGATAATGTGTTCGTAGTCGAAGAGTAGGACCATCGTTTGCAAGATTCAAATTAAGAGACACTGCGAACAGCTCGACTTTGTGCGATTGAAGTCTCGGAAGAGAGACGGAGAGAGGAAGGGATGAGAGGAGTCGGAGGACCGTTGCTGTCAATCGGAGATCTTCTCGCCGATCTCGTTGAAGAAACTGTTGACTCATCACCGGGAAACGATCCAAATCCTGGAAGTTCTTCAAAATTAGATCCTGATGCCATCTCTGGACCGTTGGATCTAACCCGACTCTTTCAGGTCACTCTTCGAATCGTGTTTTTCTCCTCTCTTTTTCTTCTCAGGCAGCTTTACGAAAATCATTTGGATTCAGTGGACTTTGTTGGGTTCATTCTGTTTAACCAAGGATCTCTATCATTGTGCATTCATCATAATGGATTCCATCCTCATTGAGTTTATACAGTTTATATGAACAGATTGTTTCATTGTTAGCTCCAATTTTATGCATCATTCTCTTTAATTTTGGACGAATAGTCGAGGTTACTTGAAAACTGTCTGTATCAGATCTATATAGAGAAAATGTTATTGTGTAAGAGCTCTACTGTAAATATTTCCTTAAGCCACATAATTTGATGCATTCTTGAAGATTTTATGGCTTGTTTTGTTCTTCTGATCGACGTTGTTACTGCGATTAGTAATTTAATATAGTTCTTATCAAGATTAAGTTTATTTCTGGATTCAATGGACTTTGTTGGGTTTTAAAACCAGAAAATATCTATCACTATTCATTCATCATAATGAATTGAGTTATGCAATTATCATCAACATATTGTTTCATTGTTAGTTCAAATTTTATGGAACATTTCTGTTTAATTTGGATTTTTCCTACATTTTGTTATTAAGTGGTTATTTGGAATGATGTGAGTCCAAATCAGGGTGGATTTGAAAACTCTGTGTATCGGATATAATCTAGTGGAAAAGCTGTACTGTAAATACCTCTTAATCCATATAAGTGATTCATTTTTGAAACTGTAATGGGACTTCATTTGTTGTTCTTAGCAATATTGTTTCTGTTATTAGTATAGTAGTTGGATGTAAATTTCTGACCTAGTCCTTTCAAGCCTATTTTACACTGCAATATTTGTTTTTAAAAACAGTTGTTTTGCGTTTCAGGACAACTATGATAAACTAAACACTGCGTTTGCTGGTTCTGACCACTCATGGACATCTCTCACAGTGGAGGTAATTTGTAAGCTTCTGTTTTTGGTACTTGCAGTCAACAAATTCGATTCTGTGATAATTTTGATCTTCATTTCTTTTTCAAGGGCAATACCCTTATCAGATCTCCCCTTAAATCTTCTCGATTTGACAAGTTTATCTTGTTGTGGTTTGTATATAAAAGAGTTTTATGTGATGGGCAGGCACGTATAGAATATTTTTTTTGTCTCGTTGTCTGTTTCTGTCAAGGGAAGTCTTTTGGGGATTTCGTCTTTGACATTGGTTCTACCTTCCTTTAAGTAAATGAGTAAATGATAGGTGATGCCAATATCTCAAGTATATATACATTATGAGATTCTCTAGAATATGTTTGTTCTAAGAAGAGACAAATGCAAATATAATGTTTCGGTTTTTGTCAAGAGACATATACTAATCTCTTGCTTGCCCTTACAATTTCAGCTTTGCACTTCCCTAGAAACTGCAAACAGGTTGGTCCATGCTACCACCACAAATGCTAGATTGTTGTCAGAGAAGGTGGAAGAACTGGAGAAAATAGTGAAAAGAGGAGACTCTGCAGTAGCAGCTGCAAGAACAGTTCATTCTACGGTTAACAAGAAAGGATAGGACATATAACAATATTATGATTTACTAAGGTACAAATCAACATATTGGGTTCTGTTAAGTCTTTTCAAAAGGGCACTATGACCTTGTTTAACGAGTCTATATGTATCCTGAATGATTAAGGATATATATAAATATATAATCTTCTGGAAAACTATGAAAGAACAAGCATATATTCAATTGGATTATTGGAGTGTAGGATTTGGTTCTTACAATATGATAATATCTGATTATATATTTATGGGAAATTTGATTAAGGGGGAAGTGTTAAGTGTGACCACCTGATTTGAGCTGGATTACAACTTCTAAACTAATTAAATTGCATCACTGCTTTTGTCACTTGTTCTAAAAAAAAAATTACTGTCATGGAGGTTAGGGAGATAAGTTCTGCTGTCTGTTTAATCTACAATTAAGTAGTGTCTGAAACTTGTGAAGGACAATTAGAAGTTATTAATAATTATTTTATTTTGATGTTGGTGTGTCTCTTGAATGATTTGATTTGCTGTTTTAAATTATAGAAACTAACCCAAATCTCTACAATATCTTGTTTTTTCTGTTTGGTTCACCAGGTTCTCTGCTCAGCAAATGTGGCGATATGCTTCTTCATAAATAATTTTATATTATTTTGAATTGTCACTAATTAGGTTTGATTGCAAGTTGATGATTTGATTTAAAATATAAACATTGATTAGTATTAAAGTTATTTGGCAATCTACCACTTTTTAAAAACTTCATTGTAAGTTCACATGGACAAACATTATTTTTCTAAGAAAATGACCAATTTACCTAGAATTATTAGACATATATCGGTTTTTTGTATACTGGTAGACTTTCATGATACAATACTGAAACAAATTTACAAATAAAAGGGTAAAATTGCATGCTAATTTCCGAGAGAAAAAAACGTATTACGCAGTATTAAAAGACTAAATATTTTCTCACCTGATTTTTTTATTTGCACAATTTGATCACAGTGGTCCTGCTGCTTCTTCGATGGACCACAGGTTGTTCGATCTCCCTGAAAGGGGTCCATGTAATTAGATTCGACTTCAAAGATTTCCTTCAAAAATATAAAACCCCTATTGTCTTGCTTCCCACTACGTGGCCGTACACTCTCTATATAACTCAACACTGACAATTTCTTCTTTTTTACCTCCATAACCATGAATTATCCCTACGATGACTTCCTCGATCTCTTCTTCTCTAGCAACACTGCCACAGCCGCAAGCACTTCCTCCTGTGTGGAACATAATGATGGATCTCTTGACATGGACTGGGATAGTGACTTTCACGATCTCATTGAATCCATGATGAGTGATGAGGGAGCCGCGAGCGAATCTCCTCCAATGCTGCCTTGTCACCTTGGCCAGGAGGGAATTTGTAATTCCGTGTCCATGGGTTTGTCTGTGGCTGATGGGGTACTTGATAATGTAGAACGGCGTAGCCATGATGAATCTAAAGGCTTGAGGTTGGTTCATTTACTGGTGGCTGCTGCAGAGGCATCAACCAGCGGCCACAAAACTCGGGAGCTAACTCGGGTTAACTTGCAAGGCTAAAGGACTTGGTTTCTCCCAGTGACCAAACCAACATGGAGAGATTAGCTGCTCACTTCACCAACGGCCTTTCAAAGTTGTTAGAGCGAGCGAATGTTAAGCGGCAGTGCGGTCCACACCAACACCATGATGTTCATGATCAGGCAGATGTGATTACAGCGTTCGAAATGCTGCAGAACATATCTCTGTATGTCAACTTTGGTTATTTTACCGCTACACAAGCTATTCTTGAAGCTGTAAAATACGAGGGGCGAATCCATATTGTGGATTATGATATCACAGAAGGTGTTAAATGGGCCTCACTTATGCATGCCTTGGTGTCTAAAAATACAGACCCATCAGCCCAACATCTTAGGATCACGGCTTTGTCACGAGCCACCAACGGTAAAAAATCTGTTGCTGCTGTCCAAGAAGCTGGACGGCGGCTAACTGCATTTGCAGAGTCGATCGGCCAGCCGTTTTCGTACCAACATTGTAAACTCGACACCGACACATTCAACGCTTCGTCGCTGACACTTGTGAGAGGAGAAGCAATGGTTATCAATTGTATGTTGCATCTCCCTCGGTTTATCCACCAACCACCCAATTCTCTCATTTCTTTTCTATCAGAAGCTAAAGTTCTAAACCCCAAACTTGTAACGCTTGTTCACGAAGAAGTTGGTCTGATGGGAAACCAAGGCTTCCTTTATCGGTTTATGGACTTGCAACATCAATTCTCAGCCATATTTGACTCTCTAGAAGCAAGCCCGGTCCGTAGCTTTATTGAACATATTTTCATTGGGCCGTGGGTTTCAGGTTGGTTAACGCGTATCGCTATCACTGCTGGTGATGCCGAAGTTGAGAGTTTCGCTTCGTGGCCACAGTGGTTAGAGGCCAATGGGTTTAAACCAGGTGGACGTAAGCTTTGCCAACCGTTGTCAAGCAAAGCTTCTTGTGAGCTTGTTTAACGATGGGTATATAGTGGAAGAGTTGGGCCAAAATGGGCTTGTTTTGGGATGGAAATCTAGGCGTCTTGTGTCGGCATCGTTTTGGGCCTCGCGTGATTCGAACCAGTAAAATTATATAGTTTTGCACTCTGTAGATAATAAATACATAAGACAACGATTTATGAAACACATCAATTATGTAAATATCGATCATCTAAATAAGGCAAAACGACATTGTTTATTTTATCATCAAAAATGATTGTGATATGACGAGGCACTCTGTAGACTCGTGCCTACGAAGATGGAAGAAGTTAGGTGGAAGTGGCGCCAAGAAGATCACAAAGACCACGTAAGCCAAACTTTAAATATTCGGTTTGAGTTTGAAGAAGTCAGCCACTTCTCTTTATTTTGACGGTGCGTTTTTCATATTCACGGTAAATGCGTTTTTCATATTCACGGCGTGGTATTGATTGATCCTGTAATGATCCGGTTTTTCAAACCATGCTCGTTTAGAAAATTTATTCCCGAACTGAAACAGTTTAAGGCCCAATTTTCATTTTTCGATATTTTTTTTTTCTTGCGAGAGATAAATATTCGTGGTTTAAATAAATATTATATTTTTAATGTGATAATAATGAACCTATTCCTAAAAGGATTTGTAAATATCCTCTTTTCATAATTATCTTTCCTTTTTCATGTTTATCTCTTGCTTTGTGCCCAAGTCTTTCATTAGGTATAAATAAAGAGTCCTCTCCTTCCCAATTCTTCATTCTAAAAGTTCCAAAGAAGCAGAAAAACCCTAATCTCTCTATCCTCTTCCCTTTGGACGTTTTACCCTATCTCTGCCGCCTTCTCTCTCTAATCCTCCTTCCCTGGGCGTTCCCCTCTCTCTCCTTGGCGCCACCATGATGTCCTGATGAGCCACGGCGATTCCGGTGAGGCGTTTGAAGCTCTCCAACCATGCGTGTTCAGCTACTGCTTGGATCTGTCGTCTCCAGCCGCCACGATGTCTATGCCGCGAGTTTCCTTCTTCTTTTCCCCCAAACCGTTGTTCTATTAAGGCCAAGGTGAGGATGAATCTGTGCTAGAATATTATGTGTCCTGCTTTTCTGAATGTCTAATTTGGGGTTAAACCAAGCATACACTAAATTCTGCTTTAGAACTGAGTCCCAGTTAGGTCTTGTTAAGTTGTTAATTGTTCTGTGATCGCCTAAATGTGTTTAGGGTTGTGAAACTGAAGTTGCAGGAGATTAAAACGAATCTTAGTTGTGTATTGCGCTTGCTGTGTTGATTGCTGTTTATTCCACTTGTTTGCTGTTTGATCACCTAGTTGTAAAGAGGTTAGGAACTTAATATAGTATTGCGTGAATTCATTATTGACACTATGTGTGATTCGAGATGAGAGTTGAGATCATGTGATGTGGAAACCATGATCAACATATCCGAGTGGAGAATATATTCTTGGTGAACGATTGAGATGATGTGTCGAGACGATGAGTTGAGACGATAGTTGATATCGTGAGTTGAGAATTTTGTGTGTAATTGCCGTGAGCCGTGTGTGGCAAAAGGCGGAGGGGTACTGAGAGACCTGACATTATATGGGGCTGTTCAAAAGGGTTCAACGTATACTCATATGGTATGGATGAGAGGCTAGACGTACTTAGCACTCCCAAGACATGGCCGACGGGCTAGTCCGTGTAGCGACTATACTCCTACGGAGGATGCATCCCAAGTGCCACAGTGTAAGTCATCATTGTGTGGTACAGGTATTCGCAGTGACGTTACCTGCGGGCGTTAGGTTGTATGTGAAGTCTTTAGGACTCTATGGTGCTAAAAGGCTTGAACTTAGCGTTTGTTAAGTTGTGGTGCATTGATAGGATAGTGTAGGTTCATTCTCCTGGGTAATTTAAATTACTCATCCCTCCACCCTATCTTCTCTCTCTCGATCCCCTCTAGCAGGTTAGGTGAGTCAAGATGCTTCAGTATCGCATGTGGTGTAGAATTGTTTGTTTAAGCAAGGCACCTTCGGATTCTAAGACTTGTAGAGAAAGTAATGCGTTTGGCTCTAAGCACAGTCAGTTATCTTGACATTGGCCGATTCAATTATATGATCGGAATCGAATGTCACATATCATACAATCATGTTACCAATCAACCAAATTTCAGAAAGTGCAATGTGTTTTTATTTTTTCTTAATGAAAAAAAATTAAAAAATAGAAAGTGCGGTTTCCATTTACTGACATAACGCATGCTTTCATGTGTTATGCGTTTTTTCATTACCGGTTTTATATATATATATATAAATATTTAAATGACAAAGGGTAAGTATTTATGTGCAAGTGTTATAAACAGTATGACAAAAATTACAAAAAAGATTAGTAAAATCTAGAATTTTTTTTAATATAAAAGTGAGTTATATAAATTAATACAATTTTATTTGATAAAGATTATTTTAATAATTTAAAACACTAGAACGATTAAAATTTATTATTATTATACAATTTGTTATAGTTGTTATTCACTTATATTTTATCTGATTAATTTACATCATTAATTTTATTTAAAATATTATATTTAAATAATTAAAGTTTTTTAAAAATTTATAAACCGCAATTATAATTATTATCATTCATGTGATTACATAACTTTATCAAAATTTTGTAAAAACCTAAATTCGAGCTATGAAAGAACTAGGGTTTGGAAGGTTTTAAAGAGATCTTTTATTAGAAAAAGCCGGAGCTTGATTGAATACAACGGTGTTTAGGTCGTCGGAATAAGAACGCCGACCTAAAACTCTTAAGAAAAGTTAACCAAAAAGCTAGAACAATCTGATTGCTTAGTTTGTTCTAGGTCTGGATTAATGATTTTCGGATTGATTGAGAAGTCGAGGACTTCCTATATTTATACCCGATCAGGTCGGTCTTCATCCTGTTCGGAATAGGAAACTCTCGTCGTCAAGGAGTTTCCTTTTTCTCCGGGTCGCTTGATAAATGGAAGTTTTTCTTTTATGTTGCCGACCTGGGAATTGTTAGATGGGCCGACTAGAATTCATATCGGGTTTGTTAGAGACGGTACGAATCTCATCTCTAACAAATTTCAATGCAGATTTTGCATATGTAATGATAGGGACAGGAATAAACAACAGAGATTCGGAACTTGACGCAGGTGATACAGACACAGCTGGAGTAGCAGATAGAGAGCATATGATGCAAATAAGAGACAATATTACAGATATGTTATGGCAAAATCAAACTACTCTATAATTTTGTAAACTTTTTTAGTATTGTATTTGTCTTTTTTAATCACTGAATACTTTTTGTGTATTAACATTAATGATATTTAAGATTCATATAAAAAAATTTGTATCACTAAATAAATAAAAAGAAATTTATAATGATGATAATATTATTTCTATATTCATATTTACTTAGTTTTAAATTCTGTACCGCATATTAATATTTTCACCAATCAAAAATTATTTTGAATCGCTAACTGTTTTTTTTATCATTCAAAAATTGTTTTGCACCGTATTTTTTACATTAACCGCACTAGTTCCGCATAATGCATATTCTACAGTTTTAACTGCACCACACTTTCAAAACCGTTTTTAATACCGCAAAACGCGGAGGACGTCTTCTTTGTTTTGTGGACAACGTCCTCCACTTTCTCAATTCCTGTTTTATAGGTAACTTCACCTTTTTTTTTTTGAAAAAAGTACATTTACCTTCTGTTTCAGTTCTTTTGCTTCATTGTAATCTTGTCTATTTAAGAAATGAGAAAGACCAAAAATAGGTAGTTTTAACTACCAAACAAATCTCTTGAGTCTACTTTACGATTTTGAAACATCAGGCAACAACAAAAAAAAATGTTTAAATTTTTACGACAATACCGTTTATAAGTTTTTTTTGTTTGTTAAAGATTACCTTTTATAGTTAGCTACTCTCTCCGTTTCAAAATAAGTGTCATTCTAAAGTTTTATTTTTGTTTCATAAAAAATGTCACATTATATTTTCAATGCATAATTTTGAACAAATATCTAATTTTAACCTTAACTTTTATTGTTTTAATTAGAAAGAGAATGTTATTTTGTATGTAAACAAATGGTAAAATAAAATTTTTAATAATTTTCTTAATTTGTGTGAAAAGTGTAAACGTGACACTTATTTTGAAACATAGAAAGTATTTATAGTATTATTTTACAAAGTTTCCAGTAATATTGGATAATCAATTGTAACTTTTCACTAAAATCTATAACCCTTAAAAACAACCAGTTTCACCTCCAAAACTTTTTATAAACACTTTTAAACTTTAACATTTGATGACAAAATACTTTAATATTTTTTCAACTTTCCAATTTCATGTCTCAAATTAAAAATTTAAAATCAAAATTATTCTAACTAATTTGCGTATAGGTGAAAAGTGATTGTCTATAATTTTTAGTTTGAGTCCAGCGATCTGAATGATAAAAAAAACTCAACGATAAAATTTATAGATTAAAATCGCAAATCAAAATTGAAAAATAAAATAAAGTTCTTTGTCATAGTAAGACATCGAGAGATTGTGACCAGATAATCACGATGTTGCTTTAGTTTTATCTGTTTTGGTTTATTTTAGTTTATCCAGTTCAATAAACATTATATGTGAGGAATTTAGCAAATTCAGAATAATCATTCGAACACAAATTTATCTTCTCCTTCTATTCTCTATTTCGTCATTTATCACATTTATCATCAAATAATGATCTCCTAGATCATAGGAATCGAATCCATAAAGATTAAAGGATTACATTATAAGTTTCGTTGAAAAGAATTAAACTAGCTAGGTACAAAACAAGGTTTAGTTGTCACTGAAACCAAAGCAATATAAAAATGATAAAAAAGCATTAAACGAAGCGTTGGGGGTTGGAAAAAATTTGGGGGTTCATAGTTTAGACTATTTAGAGCAACTCTAATGGTAACACTACTATAAAGGGTTTTAATAATTAATTATTAATATTTTATGTATTTTATGTATATAAGATA